CGTGGAGATGACTCGGACTTCTTCTTTCGAGATATATTGTGACAATCGGAAACTCTCGGGCATTTCCGTAACCTGTCGATGAGTTCCGAAAATGATCAAAAGTTTCCGACTATTTCAACGAGAGAAGAAGGGGTCATTTGATGTGTATGTATTATGATAATTGAGTTATCTCCCCTCATTTATTAAAATCTGCACCTTTTTTCGAGTCTTTCATAACTTCTTTCTATGAAAATGGGCAAAATTAGCAAAGTGGATCCGCATCACATGTTAAACCTCTTTTGATAATTTAGAAAATGTATTAAAAACGTATTTCCGGGAAGTCATCAGATTTAGGAAAGGGGAGATAGCTCCTATATTATGACTCAACTTGTCCACCCTTTAATGTCAGCAAATGAACGGCAACTCCTTTTAGCCTTACTTTTCTAAATAACAACCTTAGTATCAAAACTCCCGAAATGTATCATCAAATGTTTAAATGACATTAAAATGATAACAATTCTGACTCCATAACCATGCAGTGTTTCACATGATCCGATGTACACATATAAACAACTTTGTTGCCATGACGACCCGGTAACTTTTAGTTGAGGCTGACTGATTTTAAACCTTTTTTAAGGTTTTCAGGAAAGTTGAACTTCCTGGTGAGTGAATGAAAGGTTGAACAGTTGATGGGTTTCATAATGACGATGAAAACGATGATGATTATAATGACGATGAAGATGAAGATGATGATGGTGATGATGATGGGCGGTTGGAACTCTGTTGTAAACAGTGATATGCGGTACCAATACCTGACTCTGTACACGACAATATAGTTTTTCATTCACCCAAAATATTGAAATCACGTAAAAATTCACCGTGCCTTTACATATTACAAGATATATTATAATAGTAGTAAAAGATAATATTCATTATATTTCAAACTTTTGGCAAGAATAACATTGACGTAATGTACTTTAATTGGTTATTATACATCATAAACATATATTAACATATACAGAGTCACGTGTCTGGATTCCCGGTGATACACATTACAAATTCATAACAATAAACATACTAGCTTATATCAATATCAGATTGGTTCACCTGAGAGCCCCGGATGTGGCTGAAAGCGGAAATACTTACACTAGGAACGTGCTACACATGTATGGCGGAAGACACTGCGCGCGGTAATGTAGTGCGTCTTTGGCAAAGTGATCAAGTAAAGAATTGTAAAACAATTGGGACAAAGATTTGATTATTTCAATGTCGATTTCAAATGTAAGCAATAAATACATTTACTCTAGTCTAAAGTGTGGTTTATGAAAACTGGGGAAAAAGAACATTCTAAATATCATGGAGTAAAGCTAGTTTAGAAATATATAAAAACTGATGAGAACACTCGCAGTATATCACTAATTATTGATTGGAGATTGTAGAAAAAATACATTTAAATAAACATATGGAAAAATATCTGCACAGATACCTGGGGAGATTGGTGTGTCTCACGATCAATTTCTACAACTAGGTAATTAAATATATGTGGCAATCAGACTATCCACCTGAATTCAGTGCCATTAACAAGTCCAAACGGCAGTGCACGAGTTGACTATTTACATGACTTGCGTTCTCTATAATACATGTCCTTCTCAGAACCACACATATGAACACCTCTCCCATCCAATAAATATCCCTGCAATATGTGTTATACCATAAGTACATACACCACGAAAGGAAACCATTGCGGCAGTGGCGCTTTCTTTGACTGGAAATAATCGATGATGACCTTACCGTTATTGATGCTTAACTGTTTTATTCTCTATCATCATCCAAGATACACATACATAGACATCACTCTTACGTTACCCTTAACTGGATTAGAAAACGTGCATCACTTTCTAGACATACATTCCGTTAAGAATTTCATAGTTGTTTGTGTTATTTCCAAATGAAGACCTACCGTTGGTTTTACACATAAAGCCATCCAAAGCTCCATGGGAGTCTATTGTTTCATCGATGCCAATACTGACCTTAAAACTGACTATACAAGTAAACATTACAGCTAATGTGCATGTACCAATACAGTAACTTTACATATCTTAACTTCGGGGGTTAAAACCATGCCCTTCGTGGCTGGAAATGCTATTACAGGTTACCATATTCACAATGCCAGAACGGTAAATGATTAAAAGAGGTACTATTGAACGCCGAAGTAAACGTTTCCATATGCTTTTGGTATAGTGTTTGGTATAATGACACAATGTGATGTTGTTGCTGAGTTCATGCCTTCGGCGAATATACTTCTCAGCTATACTGATACGGTCAATAACTTTGAATTTCAACTATCGTTGTTTTCGCCCAAAATAGAAAAATAAACTTTGATCTAAGGCAATAAAAAGAAATACTTGTGTTTCAGGTAACGTGTCCTTAACAAAATTGTGTTGGTCACTCGGTTCTTTTCCACGTATATACATTTTCTTGCGATTTATTTGACGACTGGTTGCAGATGTGAAACAGTTTTCAGGGTTCCAAGTTAGATAACGGGTTACGGGAAACGCAAGTATTTAGATTTTAGCCTAAACAACAATTGCTAATAGTGGTGTAGAACACCGTGCGGGCTATAACAGTGGAAATTGTAAATCTTTAAATAGTTACCCAAATCAGAGATCTTTGGATCATTAGCATCAACGAGCTGAACCACGTGTCTCAGCGCATGCGCACATCGCCAAGTAACATGTTTCCGCCAATATGACGGCTAACAACACCGGTTCTGTGCCCGGGTTTCCCTCACAACACGCATGTGATTAATGATACCGAGGAATGGACTAGCTAACACATATGCACTCTTCAAAGAAAGGCAAGCTAATCAAAATAAAGTCAACACCGCACATGTCAAATATTTGATTCTGACCTTTGACCTTGCTCACGAATAAGCTCCACGACATAAAGCATAATGGCAAGGGCACGTTATCGCAATGCGGACAACATATGCAATGACAATATCTGTCACCCACACAAGAATATACAAGATAATTGTACTGTAAAAGAACAAAGATTTATGGGAGTTCCTAAGGTTAGACAACCATACGGCTCAAGGTCAATTCTCTCTCTGTCCTCTACGTTCGCCAATAGCCAACCGATAGTCAAAACGCTCGCTCAGGAGCTTTGCCTATATTATATTGTTTTATAGAATACCTCTGCCAAACCATGCATAGAAGTGTGTTTGCTAATGAAAATGTTGTTTGATATATGTAAATTACGTAAATTATCAGATCAAAGAAAGGGACGATATACTATTTTCTTCATACATTCTTTTCTGTAATGAACGTGAACTGAAATCCTGGCTCAGATGACATATATGTAGAGATTGTCTGAATAACATAAGATGTACCAACATATCCCACTCATGTGCGATAATACAGCTGACATCGTATTAGTAAGGCTAAAGTATTTTTCACAAGATATCGATAATGCCTCCACATGATGGACTGAATTTATGTTATATGAACATATGAGGCATTTCATAAGTTCCCAAACAGACGGTTAGAATGGTGTCTCATTAGACTTTAGCCTCAGCAAAATTTGGTCCCCCGAACCATCGCTGTTATCCTTCAACCAATATGCTTTGGAAACTTTTGACATACTCCCATTAATGCACGTAGTATTGCTCCAGTTAATATTTTGATCCCAACCATTTGTATAGTGGTCCAAACACAATGGTAAAAATGATGCTTGGATGAAATATTTTGTAGTTTATAATGTTTAAAACATTGTACTCCTGTTACCGTTTTCATTTAAAACAACCATTTTGCAACAAATTTCTCTCAGTTGTTGTTCAAAGACTTAAGGACAGATTAAGATATAAGTTAAATGTATAAAAATAGGATTACAATTCACCGGCCTCGGCTGTAAAGTTTGATATGATTGCGCATGCGCGTGTTTACTGGGCATGCCTCCTAAACCATAAAATTGTGGGTTCACATCCCAGGTCTGTGCTGCCAGTAACTCTTCGATTGTGTTCAGAAAATATCGATGTCGTTCGTTTCTCATAAATATGACAGTGTGAAATTCTACTCTGGTTATCGACTCCCTTTCTTCACCATTGGCATACGTAGCTGTGGATCCGGCCAGCGCGCCATCATCCAGTCTTTCACATACGCCGCCATTTTGAAAAATTGACACAACCTCAGGCCCGCTTTCAAAAAGCGGTCCCAGTTCTAAGACAAACGTAAGTCTATGTCCGAGTATTCGGGTTACATCAGTCTCAGCTCAAGGATCCTCTGATCGGACCAGGATCTCAATCGATTTGCGTTATTTTGATTATCAGTGGTATATGGACCTACACGTACTATTCCTGACGGCGCATGAGAAACAAAGGGCGACGACTCACAAGTACCAGAATGACTAGGAGACAAATCTTTGAAAAATCAACGACTCCACCAAAGATGACGTCACGCAATACAAAATCATCAACAAAATAAAATTTAACATGTCCCAACATAAATGTTGTACAATTTACATCTAGAAAAAAACGTACCTCCGCAAAAATAATATATAGTAAAGACGCTGTCTCACGCTTGATATTGAGTACCATTTTGATAATCAGGTTCCTGCATATCTTGGTACCCATTCACAGAATGAGGATGAACAGTTCGGGAAAAAAATTAACATGATTTTGAAATATTGCACAATCATTCCACAAAGTGTACCGAATAAACGTAGAAAAACGAAATGTTTAAAACAGAAATGAAGCATGAATCTAGATATTGAAGTCAAATCTATATCGCACGACGCCTAGAGACAGTCATGGTGTCGCAACTACATGTATTCATACTGGAATACTGATTCAGTGAGAGTTCAAGTGAGACAGCATCTTTAGATACCTGAATCTGGGCAGTGAGGTAGATAGATGATGGAGTAAATCTGTGCACACCCACCCGCTCACCGACCTCTTTTCTCTTCTCCTCCCCCAATTTTTAACCCCTCTTCCCTCCATCCCCCACTTGGTCCAGCGAGCCATACTCTCATGTGCTCAGGTTTTGACAACCCCCCTAGCGAGTGGCTGTTTGAGGTAGCTGATACGTCACTGAATGCCTAGGGCATGACGTCACAGGTGACATCACTGTTCACTGGTCGGATACCCGAGTCCTACGCCGATGTGTCCACAGTAAGTCTGGAGCTGAACTCTGCGCAACTCTCTGTCCACTTACGACGACTTCGTGCAGGCGACGTGACGACATCACGTCGCCATGACGTCGTCGAGTTCACTACTGTTTCCGTGACAGCATATACAGCTTCATACGTTGCTAGGGGTATCTTTACTTTCCACAATAAACTTGTATATTTCTTTGGCTTGATAATATCCGTGTGTTAGGGAGCAAGGTGTCCCTGTCCCGAGACATATCTAAAGTACTACTGACTGCAACACATCTCACATCTAACGAAGAACACCAGGAGAATGTAAGTGACACGAGACTCACACTCGAGCTCGCTCGGGTATCCACAACTGAAATATGGACGCCAATCTATTAGAGGTGACAAGGGCTTGTCAGTCCGGCCATATCCTGCAACATAGCACCACTACAATCACGTGGAATCACGTCAGCACGTGGCCTCTACTGAGATCAGCATGACGTGGTTTGGAGCAAATATGGCGGCATATATGTCATACACTGACAGTCAAATCGTTCGTACTTCACTACAGCGTAACAAGTTTGTTCCTAGTAAACAGGGGCGATAATTCAAAACCCGCCCTTGTCCTCTTCTGATCAACGTTGCCTAGCGACGCAGTATGACGTCATACTGGACCGATCTGGGGCATTCCCATGGACGGGTCGCCGCTGTCATAGCCGTTCCCGTTGCTGTTTCCGTTGCGTCCCTTCCTGCCTAAGGTACTAGGTGAGGTAAAGACGTGGGACTGTTGTTGCTGCTGTTGTTGGTGTGGACAGTCGGCCACGAGGTGGTCTTCAGAACGGCAGTTGTAGCAGCGTTTCGTCAGAGGTCCACATGGGCATTTTGCAGCAATATGGTTGCTTATTTCCCCACAGTTGTAGCATCTAGAACAGAAAGGATAACCAATTATACTCATGCCAATAATGGTTGTCACCCCCTCCCCACCCCAACCACACACACACCTCACAACCCCACCCCACACCCCCTCTCCAATAACAAATATTGAAGTGACTGACTGAGTTTGGTTTTACGCCGCTTTTAGCAATATTCCAGCAACATCACGGCGGGGGACACCAGAAATGGGCTTCACACATAATACTGAAGTGGATGACAACCATTATTGGCATGAGTATATAGTAACACCCGGAAAGACTTTATGAAATAGAATGTTCTTGTTCTTGTCACATATCAGCCAATCAATATCTGCACACATCACCCACACTGACTCATTCAGATAATTCTGCAGAAGTATTTTATTGAATCCTGAAACTCTGACATTAACATTTACAGTCTGTAGACAGAATAAATGTTAAAAGGTTTTTAATGTGTTCTCCCCGAAGCAATGATTCAAGCAAAGCCAAATACAAATCGTTTGCATACTAACAATTTGATCCGACAAGACGAACACAGAACGCAACACCGCAAAGTCTCGATTTTCCCGACGAGAAAGTGATACCCTAGAAAACCTTAAATTTCCAAATGAATAGAACCTACGTTTCAAGTTAAACACATTAAACTATTAATTCTCGTCGGCCCTAACAAAACACAGTATGGCACAACTGGTCAGGGTTCTCCTCTACAACTATACAAGCTAATGTTCAAAGACATAAGGTGCATAATCACTGGCCATTACTGTGAACTGGTCATGTTTCCGAAAGAATCAAGAATACAATTCCGAGTGACATTCAAATCGATACATCCTGATGGTCGATAACGAAATGGTTCTGCTACTAATGAGTACTATATTAACTATGGTATTAATCATTTCAGCATTGATGGCTTGAGCCTCGATGACATGTGTGACTATTGAAATCAATCATATTCGTAACACGATATATCCCCGCTGATTCTGCTAATGTGGTATTAAAAAAAGTGATACACACTCAGATGGAATCTTTTGCCAATCGTACATACATCATCGTTTCCCGTACATAAATGTTGTTTTTCTCTATAACAATTTCTGCGCTTACAGAAATGGGCCTTGCATAATGCATATACCGTCATGTTCAGTACAAATCACTGTTATGCTTTGATTTCTGTGTAATATCTGTTTCATTATGCCATGCATATGTGTGTATGTGCGTGTGTGCGTTGGCGCATGTGTGTATCAACGCATATTCTTCAGATTCGGCCGGGCTTCAAGAATCAGTAGTCGTACACGGGTGAAAATATACACTAAATAACATCTAAAACAGTGGCTTAACCTCGTTATAACTAAACTGATATTTTCTGTATTACGCAATCATACGAAATTGCATAAAATCGTTTTTACATCTTCCGTAGCTATAAATAGACACTTGCTTGTATTAGCATAAATCGATAGTAGCAGTGGCGAAGCCAGAGCAGAACCAGCCAAACAGAGACTGTGGTTCTACGCTCAAACCGCAGACAATTTGCGTCTTATCTCAAGGGCTTCATATATTTGTAGTATGTCAACGCATGGTTCTGACAGTATTTCATACAACATGCTTTCAGTAGGCCAAATAACCCATAGCTCAACATCTATGATGCACACAACAGGTAGAAACACCATAAGTATTCCACACAAGATGGGAATAGCTATGGCCATTAAACGCATCATCGTCTTACAACTGCTACTCTGATGAGAAGAGTATCACGAAAAACGATTTCAAATTGGCAGCCTTGAGATGTTCGCTCTTTAAGCATTTACTTTTACGACTTTTAGTAGAGACCATAGTATGACTGATGGCAAACTGTTGCAATTAATCGAACAGATCCAATTATCAGTATCGATCAGAGATTTTTATGGTGAAGATGGTAATCTGTAATCTCACCTTACTTCTTTATATATTAGGTTATAGAGTATGTGTGGGTGTTCAGATTCATTTTTGTGTGTTACCTCTGTCACTTCTTTGGCAGTATTTTGGAGTTCATTATGATAACATTTAGTTTGGTACAACTTATCTTGTACCTACTTGCTCTTAATGGTTGATATTTCATTACGCGATCCTATAGGCAAATAATTTGGCGTTTCAGTGAAAATTTTAAGTGTAAGAAAGAAAGATAAACAAATGTTGGCTCATTTGAATTGGAATTACAAACTTAAAACCAACGATGGACGCGGCACTATTATTTCGACGACATTTATTTCAAGGTTCTTTCCTACTATCATCGTCAAACCCATCTTCGAGAACAGTCAAACCCATCTTCGCGAACAAGTCATTACCACGCACGTCGCTCAGCATTGACCGCTGGGCTGGGCTTGACCGATACCACAACAACACAAGCGAGTCAATATCGTCTCCCTATGACCTACATTCACTGGCCAGTGGGTGGAGCTTAGCCATCGGTCAGCAGCTCTTTGTGTGGGATGAGATACGCCGACATCTTGCAGCAGCTAGAGGTCACGTTTTCAAGGTGAAGGTGAAAGGTCGCGGGTGCTGCTGCTGTAGATGTTAGACTATATCGATCTTCCTGCTAGTTTCTTGTAAAAAGCATGTGGAGGATGTTCAGGGATGATACTCTGTTTGCAGGGGATGTGTACACGACGACAAAAATAAACTTGGCGAACTTTTCCAACCACCTTTTCGTAAGGACATATACTGAAAAGATTGTAACACCCTAATGGTCTTGAGATTCCAATCAGTCGGGTGCATCGGTCTCTTTATCAGAGTATTTCGATTATTACATCTGAAGCTTATGCAAAAACCTAAATGCACGCGCAGCGTGCACAGTATCACATTGTACATCAATATACATCATGGTTTAACACTAACAGTAGCAGGTGCAAATATTGTTCATGTTCTTTCATATGCCTGGTAAATCATAACGACAAAACACTCTCCACATCCATAAGAAATTTTGCTAAAAGACGATGGTAAAAATAATTATTTTTCATATGCATAAGATTGAAGATTTGTTGACAAAGGTGTAGCATAAAACGGCCATCTGTACACTTGTATTTTGTTTAGTATTCACGATGTATATATTTGCAGAGTATGAAATAATGCCATTGTTTTTCCATGGAATATTACGCGAGAAATATCTTATCTTATCTTGGGTAGGAATATTATCTTGAATAAACTTAAGAATAAGGTCATATATTCCCCTGGAATAATATATTAGCGTTTCTATTCTGTAAAAATATGCCCCTATTATACACCCTTCTTCCCTGTGACTGTTTCATAGAAAGACTAATAGAGTCTTAAAACCTAATGGAACAGTTACAGATGTACGTCACATGCCGTGTGAAGGTCCAATTATTCGTGATATAAATACAAAAAACGACATACCAGATAAGCCTTGATAAATCCTCGTTTATATTTTATGGAATTAGTTTTTGTGTAATTGCGTTTATTCTTGGTGTTATGCCCATTTGAATTTACTCATCAAAAAGAAGATTCCACTTCACGCCCATGATAGACACGCTCACATGTGACAATCCATTCTTGTCATTGAATTATTAATGCTATATGTATTCCTTTTCGTTTCCTAATACCTATCATATTCATATTTCTGTCCCTAGTAACAGTAGAGCATGAATGAATCGTGAATTACACCAAAGTGCAGTATATGCGGAAATAAATATCTTAAAGAGCTGTGTGTTGCATGTAGACGTATTCATGTCAATCAATGTATATTTTTTGTTGTAAAAACCAAAACTGTCATAGAACTTTGCTATCATGTTTCCATGCACCGAAATGTCATGTTGGCATAAAAATTAATGTACGTTTTTGAAAAGGTTAGCGTTTGGGATGTTGAAATCCTAAAATATTTATGATTTGAAGGAAATTCAAAATTTAACAAAATACAAAGAATTAATGACACTGAGTATTCTCGTATTCGCGTCAAACATTTATTTGGTTATCAAAGTTAGACGGAAGTGAAAACTACAACAGGTATTTTGTGAAATCTATGGAGGGGAAAAAATAATAATTTCGTGTTATTCCACGTTTCGTTGCGCCTTTTATTCAATATTTTCAATTATTTTGATACATTTAAACCTTCCAATGATTATTCGGCATCTTTACCTGATTTTCCTGAATTTCCTCCTTGATTGGGGTCTTCTGTCACTCCCCCGACACTCCGTACCCCCGGGGCCGCACACAAGGGTAGCTTCCATCCCCTTGTCTGAGGGTTTGCTGTCGAATTCGACGATCTCACCTTCCCCCAGGCTCCGAAATCCAGACTTCTTAATCACCGACTGTAAACAAGTACTTACTAAGATTAGTATCAGATTCTTTCAACGCTTGCAAGAATAGATTTCAAATGGTACGTCTCAGGTAGAATTAATTTAGTATCTTGGAGATATTTATTTACAAAGATGTGTTGCATCTCGTTTGACTCTAAAGACGTGCGAATGTGGAGACATATATATAACTTGCATTTATACATTTTGATAATGGAACGCTGGATATTCATAAAATTTAATATTCATATAATCTTAGTTATTATGCCTTTTCGCAAATTGAAATCTGACGATGTTCGAGACTGGATATTCTTTTGCACTAGTATTTCATGTATATCACAAGAAAATAGCCTTTACATGAAGAATGTAATTGACCTATTATATGCTATCGCTGTAGAATAAATGCACGGTTTACTGCAATATACAGTCCAGTATTTAGTTCTAGGGATTAAGAATTTTCGTGACTGTTTCTACCTCCATTACTTATGGCAATAAGTTGTTGATGAGCATTGTTTCAGTTTTAAAGATTATGTACCGCACTAGTTTCAATAAATTAGGAAATCATTTTGATAATGTACGTAAAGGGTATTTTGAAAATATCAACATAATATCACCTAAAGTTGAAAATTAAAAAACAGATATATATTGCTATATTTTATAGAAGAATATGAAGTATTGATTTATAACAAAAGATTATAATAAAAGCAAGAAACGTTTCCATATTTATAAGAAATCTAACCTAAGAAAGTTGACTGTAGGACTCCAATATTGCAAACATGTATTTATGAATCTCTATCAGATAGTGAATTACACCAGTTGTTCGTGAAAAAGGTGAGCGATTTGGAGATAAGATTAAAAGATAACGCAATTATTGGGTCACGTTCCATTGAAGAAACAGTCGCAATATTCCACAAACCATGGATATAAGATTTGAATATGCATACAAAACGTACAGATATTTTCCAGACACAACTGAGGTAGGTTTTAACAATGTAAATTTATCATAAATGTAATTTAGGAGAATCATATGGAAAATGCGCAAAATTGTGATATAGTTGTACATACAGGAACTGTATTGAACTAAATAGATATGAGGACATATCTTGGGATTTGTTTTAAGTAACTGTGATTAAGAACAATTAAGAATTGTTTCTTATTACAAAGTGTACCGAATTATTTGTCATTGTTGATGATTATTTAGTTAAAACAATTCTCTTTCTTGACGTTTTTTTGACAGAAGATAGAGCATAGTGATGGTCATTATCTACGAAATTACATGTGGTGCCAATACGTTGTTCAAATGTGTTCTTTTGTACATCCGCTAGGATTTAGTTAAATACCTGCTAACTTAAACGAATTTTTATGAAATACGATCTTGGAGCTTTCTTTTCATGAGGAAAGAAAATTCCCAGTGTTCATTGATGGCTTGACCGACGTGTATTTTTTAACTTGATGTATATTAGAGATTATCATAATGAAAGCTTGAACATGCTTTCACATTTGGACTGATTTTAATTTACCATGGATTTATAACAATTATTATTATACCATGTTTTCTATTTTACTATGAAATGCAAACAACGAATGCAATGTTGTCAAGATAAAAGTGTTTGTTTGCGTGTTAGTAACTAAACCGTGTAGTTATTTCATGATTTATCGTACACACGTTTTAGCATTATTCTGACAATACAAGCTATTGTTTTTGAATTATATACAATGAGAGTTATTACATGTCAAAGGATTACAAAATTAGATACGCAATAAATACGAATGTTTAATGTCAAGTTTGGCTTCAAACCTTCTCGTGTATTGTGTTCATTTCATATTTCACATTACTATACCCATGTTCATATGATGTATATAAATATTTGCTAAAATAATTCGTATTTCCAAAAGTAAACGAAAACTGTATTTTCGTGTCAGCGAGGCTTATGACAAATTTTCTATTTCGTAATCCCAAATGTTCACATTTAAAAACACATTATTATGATACAGAGGGGGTATGTTTATATGATAATGACTGTTATTGTGGAAATGGCTTTGTCACTTTATCTTAACATGTACAAATATCCTGTGTTTTTTTACCGATTTTTCGGTCTTTTCTTGAACGATGGTACATGACTAACATCAATTCTTGTTGAAAAAGGATTTGATTTTAATAACAGCATGCTTCAATTATTTATTCTGGGTTTCCTTAATACTGCTAGTTTAAATATATATATATATATGTTTTTGTTCTAAATAGTCCCAGTTCAAGTTATTGTGCGGACACAGCCATTACAAGAAATGCATAAATTATATAAAATAAAAGAATATCTACAGCAAGTAGGACACTTTTAACCTTTGTCAACACTACAAACGCATATAACATTATTTCAGTGTTATATGTTAAAGCTTGTTTGCATTCATATTTCCTGATTTCTTTAAAGTAGAATTTAGCTTTAATTTCGTCCCCTTGGCAACAATGGTCCGCGGTGCTGAGGCCGAGTAGCCGAACTATTTATAACTGTGTGTCTTCGCCTCTAACCTAAGATAAGTCTTCATTTGTGCATCACGAACATCCACATAGATATTATCATAAGCTTGGTTAAAGGCATATACGGGTAGCAAAATTGGATGGAGATTTGAAGAATGAATGTTCGAATAAAATCGATGTCACAGAGAGTCTATGCATTTGACTGACTGAGCGGTTCCAGACAGACGCGTAGGGATATCACTTCTCCAGGCGTATTCGATCTCTCATATCTAGAGATGTTTTAGATTTGATCATTTGTCAGTAAAAACAAGCTGATAGGGGATATTCATCGATTCGAATGTTTAGAACATATTAAATCATCTGATATGATAGTGTATATTTCGAGTATGACATATAGCAACCGTCTTATCAAGCAGATACATATTCGTTAATGTTGTTTTACTTACATCAATACACTGAGAAAATATAGATTAATTTTCAATGAAAACTCAGTGACATAAAATATACGTTTTGAAACACAGCATTCAATACAAAAACACGTTGTAATATATCAACTCGAATTAGCCATTAAATTAGGAAATCATGAACTCGAATCTCAACCGTGGTTTAGCTATTGATAATATATGCTAAATGAAACTATTTTCCACACGCTCTTTCAGTAGTCGTAGAGATAGTTACCAATGGCAATGATCATAGAATGATGAAAGTATCTCGACTATTCCCTATCTAACGGCATGAAACCAAGTTTTTTCGTTGAGCATCGTTAGCTTGTTTCTTTAAATGAGTTAAACATTAACGTAAAATAGTGAATAACAAATATCATTAACTCTCCGTTGAATTATAATACCACTATAAAATCAACAGGTATGGTATTCTCAGGATTAGTACAATACGTGAATCGATATCTATCTGAAAATCTGTGTCTTGTGGTCAGGTTTGATCATGGATGAAACGGTTAAAAGGACAAGATTAACGGGCGTGTGTAAATGTGAAATGAGTCTTCAATAACAATGAATCATATACTTGAACATGTTGAAGCTCATATACCAATACTCCACAAACGTGGGGAAGGTCCATCGAATGAACGAGCAATAACCCTTTCTAAAATGACACAAAAATGAGCTTCTGGTAGTTTACACATGATTTAAAGTACCATGTTCTCATTTTCAATAATGCTATTATTATCTGATTTAATATCTATAAATATATCGGGGAATCACATGATGCATTTATGAGAGCATACCTGATAAGATCGCCACCGGTTCTTAATGTCAAGTATATCAGTGTCTTTGCGTTGCCAAACACATGTGTATGTATCGTATATTTAATATACCCTTATCACAGCAGTGCAATTTGTAGTGAAATTTTTGTCGTGTTTTCAGATTGTCTGCAAGAAATTTTACATTCGTTTTTGCACGACGCCATCTAACGGGCACATGTAAGGGGAGAGAAATCGTGCAAACTTGAATAATATATGCACGTTAAATGACCACCCCGTTCGTCTTAGAAACCTTGCCCTGGTAGTCATTTCATTAATGGTTTACACGTGATGTTTGACCCATTTATCGATATTGCCTCTCAAACAATTAGAGTACATCCCTTGATCGTTTGTCACGCGTATCGATTTATCAATGAATACGTAAAATTCGATCTTTGATATACCGTAATCATATTCATTACAACATCAACGCATTACAATTGTGCACATTGTTCAAACAGAGCTGCTATTTAATGCTCTGTCCTCATATGTAAATCACACAAGCCAGCATAGAATGTTCTACCAACCCACAAGGAAACATTGAAGCTCTCAGAGGCAATCTAACGCTATTCATTTTGAACAAATATGGGTTGTAAGTACAGAGTGGATGATATAATAGTGCGCTAGACCCCTTTATTTTCGTCTTGAATAAAGGTCAATATTACCCCCCGACCTAGTTACCACCTGACCACGCTACAGTAGCTAGCTTGACCAATTTCCTGTAATATGATTGGCTGATGAGCATGTTCCTGCTGATTCCACTGCAGTGAACATATACAAAACGGTAAAGAGCAATGTGTGATTGGTGTATAGACTAAGCATCGCATCTTGTCAATCACAGACTGGAGATAAAATTTCATTTGTTACTTAATCAACAAGTATTTTGTTAATCCCGAGCCATATTGAATTCTGGGGATTGTTGTACACTACTTATCCTCTTAGTGGCAACTTTGCATGGTCTTACTAACTATAGGGTAATAATTGACAGAATAAGACATGGAAGTGAAAACGTCAATCGTTATCCTAATGGGTAATCAAGTCTGTGATGCTGGTAAGGTATTTCTACAAAACTATTTTAATAACAATACATAACACATTCAACACAAACCTTAATCATACATTACCCCTGATTTCAAATGAATAAAAACAGTTTGAAAATGTGTTATTTGAGATTTGAAAAACCAGCTTTGCCTTACTATTGCTTTTCGACCGATCGTGCCAATTTAAGAGAATTGAATGGTGTAATAATGTACTGTGTATTAAAGTACCATTTTAACGTCG